TAATATTGATTTCTAGGCCCCGCCTAGGCGCTAGGCACTGGTCGAGCGCCTAGCGACTTTTATAACACTGCTATAAATATCATTCGGGACCCATATAAAAGGGATCTTGATTTTTCTGGAAACCAATTTAATGTACGGAACAGTAAAATGTAAGAAAGATCCCCGCATTTAAGACGGAAATTGACCTCACACGACCAGAATATCCGACCTCTATGATATAAATTTTCATGCAAACTACCAACCAAAAGATGATTTTTATGGCTCTGAAGACCCCAAAATTAACACAAAATTTCTTAATTTAGGTTGATCAAATCCGTTGATCAACAGTTTGACGCTAGAAAGAGGGCCCCATAAGATGCTTGGGGTAAATTATTGAAACAAATAGACACATATCGGAAACCCTCTCACTGGTAGACGATGTCAATCCGCACGGGAGATCACAACAACCGTCATTTTAGCGACAAGAGTTAGGCTCCTCATACGTCGTTCTTCCTGAAAGGGATCAGCCGTGGCCGCCTGCAACTAAGCAAGTTCTCACCGTCACCCCCGAGACTGACACGACACGAAAACAAGCACTAAAACTGTTGCGCGTTATCGTTCCTCCAATTGCAGCCCCTATGGACATGACGATGATGTTGCAACACCCAGACATCCTCAAAGGCATGGAAAAGTTCTGTAACTAAGATACTAGCGTCGACAACTTTGACAAACCAGTCCATAGTGGTGAAAACTACGAAAACGCCTAAGGTCGCCATTCTACAATCCCCAGAAAAAAGAACAGACCATGCCACAAGGAACATGGACAAAGGACCAATCATCTCCCAGTCAACGGCCTAATCTACGAACCACACCACCAAAGTGAAGCGGACATCAAACTGAGATAACCGTGATTTGAAAGTAAAAAGTACAAACAAATAAGCGAACTGATAAGTTGCATCATGGTAGTCACGAGAGTGCAATTCGTATAACACTATTGTGCAATTGATTGCAGATGTTTTTAATAGTTTGATACAAACCAAACTAAAACCAATTTAATTGATCGATTTATTCGATTGATTCACCGAATTAATCTAAATAATGTCTATGATTTATTATTTATATTATAAAAAATATATTTATTATTTTAACATTTTATTATTAATATTTTGTATTTATTTTTGGCATTAATTATGGAGTACGATGATGAAGTGCAACGAGTTGTTTTATAAAGTGTGGCGTGTTGTTTTCCAAAATGCAACGAACTGAAATAACCGTGATTTGAAAGTAAAAACAAATAATCGAATGGATAATGTGCAATACGATAGTCGTGAAAGTGCAATTCGTATATCACTATTATGCAATTGATCACAAATATTTATAATACTTTGATCCAAACCAAACTAAAACCAATTTAATTGATCGGTTTATTCATTTGATTCACCAAATTAATCTAAACAATTTTTATGATTTATTATTTGTATTATAACGATTATATTTATTATTTTACATTTCATTTTTAATATTTTATATTTTTGTTTTGGCATTAATTATGGAATGATAATAAAGTGCAATGTGTTGTTTTACAAAGTGCGACGTGTTGTTTTACAAAATGCAATATTCCGCTATATAAAGTGCACTAATCTACAATTTTCCAGATAAATTATGTGTATACAACAACTAGTTTTAATAAATATAATTGTAGAAATTAAACTAAACAATTTTAAATTATATTTTTATTTATTATTTATTATAAGATTTATTTATTAATATAAATTAATTTTACATTATTTTAGTATTTTATATTATTTTAATTAATAATATATTTGTCATCTCATTTAATATATATGCATAACAATATAAATAAAAATTATTAACTTTCAATAATTATAGATTTGACACATGGGTTAAATTGAAATATAATCAAAGTTTTTAAAATTACAAACAAGTCCTTGTATATAATGTAATTCTCACAACACATGCCCAATTTCACATATCAATTTCAGACCTTCCGATCGGTGTATCTCCACCTATCACGCCGAACACGGCGTGGCTTGAGCTGCAGGAAGGACGTAAGCGGCGGCGCGGGGGTGGCTGTGGTGAAACGATAGTGGCAGACATATTTTTTGTGTGTGATAATTGTGTGTGTGCTGAGTGTGGCAGCTCATGGGCTGTCAGGCAGACAGGATTTCGGCGAAAGTCGAGGCGGAGTGAAATGCGAGCGACGAAGGGCGACGCGACAGTATTCTAGCGAAAGTACGAGGATTCCAACAGAGGGCGACGCGATAGGATTCTGATGGAGAACGACGCGACAGGATTCCGACTCGGGCAACGATGATGACGGGGATGACGCCGGCGATGGAGGACGATGCAGGCGACGGGTGACGTGGCACAGCAGATTCTCGCAGCAGAGAATTTCTAAACAGAGTCCAGCTGGCGATGCTCCGGCGTTGAAGTGTGAGTGAGACTCCGGCGGTGGCAGGATGCTCCGGCAGGAAGGCGGTGGAGGCGGCGACGGCGCAGGTGGCTGTGGTGAAACGATGGTGGCAACGAGTTTTTTGTGTGTGATAATTGTGTGTGCTGAGTGTGTGTGTTAGAGAGCGAGAGCGAGAGAGAGAGAGAGAGAGAGAGAGAGAGAGAGAGAGAGAGAGAGAGAGAGAGAGAGAGATGAAAGAGACAGTGACGTGAAAGATGAATTGATTGGGGTGTATTGTTTGATTTGTGGTGGGACTCACATGTTATTTAATTTTTTTGATGTTATAATTACTAATTTACCTTAATGAGTGTGAAAAATAAGCATTTTGCTAGCCATTAGATCATTCGATCTAATGACTACGATTTATTCTTATTTCTTTCACTAAGTATCATTCTCATGTGAAATCGAGTTGTCCCTCGTGTCCTGCAGTAACCGATTTTGTGGTGGGGGGCGAAAAGTACGGCTATTGCACGACACGAGGGACAACTCGATTTCCCTGTGAACGTGCTACTAATTTCGTATAATTGGATTGCAATTTTGTATCTAAAATCGGCCACTCGAAAAAATGACAAAATTAAAAAATAAAAAAGAAGAAGAAAATGGTTAAATACGGGCGGAGTGAGCTAGGGCAGAGAAGAATGTAGTAGCTTGTCATTTTGGTCTTCAGAATCATTATATATAGCTATATATGTAATTTACATAACATGAAGGGGTAAAATTGTCATTTTGTAGCCAAATTTGAGAGAAAATTGGGATGTCAAAGCTGGGATAAATTAGTCAGGTCTCAATGGGAGGACAAAAATAACCTGACAGCTCAATTAAATGACGCGGGACCTACTGCCACACAATAATACCTAGTAAACATATGATAATGTTGGTTAACCAACCCTATCCCATCCCATCACCTCTAGTAAATTAATCTATATATATATATATATATATATATATATATATATATTGTGTGTGTGGGTATTGTGTGGTAGTGGGTCCCGCGTCATTTAATTGAGCTATCAGGTTACTTTTGTCCGCCCATTAAGACGTGACTAATTTATCCCAGCTTTGACATCCCAATTTTCTCTTCAAATTTGGCTACGAAATGACAATTTTACCCCTTCATGTTATGTAAATTACCTATATAGCAATATATAATGATTCTGAAGGCCAAAATGACAAGTTACTCCATTCTTCTCTGCCCTAGCTCACTCCGCCCGTATTTCACCATTTTCTTCTTCTTTTTTATTTTTTTTATTTTTGTCATTTTTTCGAGTGGCCAATTTTAGATATGAAATTCCAACCCAATTATACGAAATTGGTAACAAGTTCATAGGGAAATTGAGTTGTCCCTCGTGTCGTGTAATAGCCGTTCTTTTCGCCCCCGACCACAAAATTGGTTACTGCAGGGACGACAAAGCTCGAGAAAGTGGCTTCTTCAGGGTCGTAAAAGCAAGCTTCATTTCCTCACTAAATCGCAGATGGAAGGGTTCAATTTTAGGGTTCATGTATTTTGGGCGATGTTATTCTCATGTCCGACCCTCCAATTTGCTATTGAACCCTAATTGCTGTTTTAAACAATTTCAAGTTCATGTTTTATCACATTTTTTTCCTTTTTTGGATGATAATGGCGTCGTCTTCTTTTCTAGTGCTCGACAGATCAGAGGGGTGAGTTTGTAGGGGTGGACAAGTTTTGGGCAACAAATAGAAAGCAGCGATTTTGAAGAAATTAGTCAATTTTTAGTGGAAATAGATGGATCGTAAAATTGGCATTCCATAATTTATCATATCAGGTAAATTAGGTTAGTAAACATAGGATGGTTAGTTTTATCCCATTATATCCCATCAACCCTAGTAAACGAGGCCTAAAGTGACTACGAGTGGCCAATTGGGGTTGGAGCTTGATTACGGGCTGATTGGATCTAAAGAGATCACACCAAATTTGGCCCTTGTGGTTTGAAATTTGAACTTCAAAAATTGATGCCAAAAGAGAGCTTAAGGGGCCAAATTATTTGATGTCAATGGGCCGGGTTTCTGACGAACTATAAAGCTTAAAAGGCCAAAATAAATCAAGCTTTGTTTAGTAAAATTCAGCTAGCAAAAAGGCTCGAATTTGGACTTGAACCAAACAAATTTTGAATAGCAAACGAATTAACAAACTTGGAATAATTTAAGTACACGAGGACATCTATCACTAGATTAGATAGTTGAGGACATCTAAATAACCTTAATGATCTTGAAATTGAAAGTATTCAATCGAGCTATCAAACAAACAATAAAGAAAATGCCACACAAGCATACAATAAAACAACCGACTCTTACTAATCGAACGGGGCACTACAACTTAACTAAACTATGATAACTTAATTATAAATACATATTAAATAGTCAACTGTTTAACAAATCACTAACGGAGGATGATCACTGCTTTTCCAGAAGATTTTGGGTAACTAAGTACGGTTTCAGACATCTTTGCGAAATCTGATGAAAATTTGGTTAGATTTTCAAATGCATCGATCACCATCTTTTTCAATGACGTAGCTCTCTTAAGCAAGATTCAGGCCAACGTAAGCATCGGCTCACCGCCTAAATTGGGATCAGCAACAGCAAATAAACGAACAGTCTTCAAGTGCACTAAGTCGAGATGCAAATCGTCCCTTGTAGCAGGGGTCCATGTCCTGGCAGATTCCTAGACGAATAACAATAACAAAATTATGACGAAAAAAAAAATCAAAATTCATCATTTCATCGATTTTGGATAATTAATAAGCATGGTAGAGGCTCTTTGGATTAATTTTGGCCTAAAAGTATCTGCTACGGTATGAATAAATGGCAATCATAACCAAAATACCCTACTTCAAGCTACTTGTGAATGGTAGCCTGAAGAATCATCCATCATAATTCTAATCACATTATACTATAAAATAAGTCGGGTCATCAGCACAAAATTTGCTGACAATTACAATTCTCACCTACCACTTCCAAACAAAGATTTTAAATATAAACTAAATCCAGTAACCGGTTATATTTCGTAACGGGTAACTGTAAATAATATCCTTGCCCTCGGAAGTTATGCCCTTTGAATTTTATTTTCTTACATTTGCCTCCTTCAAGACAACACAATTTCTGTCGCAAGGCGGTCTAAACGTCAGGCGGATCGAGCACTCATACTTTTTTCAAACAAAAAAGCATACTTATACGGAATAATTAATACATAGTAGAAATCAACTGCATACAGTTTAGATTAAATTCATCAGTAAATTAACCAAATAAATTATACAAATTAAACTACAAGCAACAATTGTAAGAGAAAACAAATTTAATGTTTTGTGAACGAAAAATTAATAGTGAACTAGTTAGTGGTCCTTAGCGCAAGTAATTTCATTCTTGGTATATTTAGTTGTCTTAATTTTGTGATCATATGAGGTTTTTTCAATTTGGGATTACCATTGTAAACCCATGTCCCATTCTAAATCCACCAGGGTAAATCATATTAAAAGAAACATTACAGTTAGCCCATTACATTTTGATGTCGGAACAAACCAATGGTTTTTTTAGTAGTTATGCAAATGCTACTTTTCTTCTATAATGTTTGAATAAAACCATGAAACAGATGTATTAGGATGCTAGCCACCAAAATGGGAAATGAATTGTATACCTTGTAAGAATCACAACACTCTATAAAAAGTTTCTCGAGGTTTGGATAAGATTCGAGCAGGGCAAGTATTCCAGGAATGCTAATCTCCTCCCTCAATGTTTCTAATGTCAACCAATTTCGCATGGACGATTGCGGAGGCCGCGACCCACGCGCCACCAACTTCAATAGAACCTAACATAGTAACATATAAACAAAGAAACTCAGTTGTCTGTTAGATCTCACATCAAAAGAGGAAATTTTCGTACTACAAAAGAATATGGTTGATTTTTGCTACCCATTTACGCATAAATTACTAAACACAATTGAAATTAGAAAAAAAAACGTTGCAGATTTACGGTCATCAACCAACATGAAATGAGACAAGAAACATATTACACCCAAGTCTCCGTGAATAGCAAGCAAGACAATCCAATTGTATCCACTGTGGTTCACTACTTGTACCGCTTGCTGACAAAAACTAATACCCAGCTCTTCATGTCCGTAACTCATTTAAAATATGAAATAAATGCTTGTGACATTGTTCTTGGCACCCAATACTTTAATACACATAATTCTTGGGCATGGTGTGACTAATGATAATTTGTTGGTAAAGATACGATTTTAACAAGAAGAAGCCTATCACAACGTACAACTTTGGAGATGTATTGTCACCAAACTCCATGTCCTTTACTTAGAAGATCTATATAACAAACGAACATGTAGGTTATGGAACGATATCATCCAAACTCATGTTTTGTTCTAGGGAAGCAAATTTAAAGAAAACAAGCAGTTCCATGCACTCATTTTTTGAAGTAACTCCCACAAAAATTTGAAATCCAGACTCGAAAACTCACTCGATGAGATAATACCACAATGACTGAAAAGATATCTGGACAAACTCAACCACATATAGCTAGGGGAGAATATATAACCAAACTGTGAAGTTATCATGAAGGACCAATAGGTAAACAAGAATGCAAAGAGTACTATCGATTCACACCTTAATGCCTGCGCCTCCTAGTACAAGTCCACTGGCATTTTGAGTCTTTTCAAGAAGTTCCATTGCATCATTCATTACCTCAACAGATGTTGGCACATTGGTTACATTGAAATCGATGTTGGCACTAATAAGGGATGATACGTTCATGAGCTGCAATTTTGTCTGTATTGGACAAAATGAGACGTGTAGCTCCTGTAGAAAGGGTGTCGAGATATTCATCAATTCTAATATGTTGTTATCTTCATAGTCCAACACCGTAAGGTCTTTAATAGTCTCGGAATTTACATCCAAACGCCTGAATCCCCAGCATGATATCAGCCGCAGCTTACGCAGAACAGGACAACATGATAATTTGAATCACACATTCGTTTAGCTCCACATTGTCAATGTTTAACCCAGACAAAGATGGCCACTCAATCGTTCTCTGTAGAACCACAATGCAGCGACTCAAGCTCAAGGACTCTAAGGAAGAAGAGGAATATAAAACCCGGGGAAGAAGGTGAAAACATGTTTCCGAGTGTAGGCGCAATCTAAGAATTTTCACTCTATTTCTCAGGGCAATGCGTACCCAAGCGTTGACATCTGAGGCATAACACTCGTCGTACAGAAAGTTGACCTCAAACTCCTCCAAATGAGTTGTGGTACGGAAAAGAAGGGTCCTGTGGACCCATGACACGAAACTGCTTGATTTCCCCGAATCCTAGGTGCGGTTCCAGAAGGCCAGCCTGGGTAGTTGAGGCCAGATATATTGCCATCTTTTGGACAGCACGCAGGTAGCTGCAACTTTGGTCACATTAGAGTCCAGGAAAGAAAGGATGTGGATGATTAAGGAATCCGGTAGCTCACTCAGCCGATCAACTGCTATCTCCTTAGCTCGTTTACTGTCAGGTGACAACGCCAGTTCCTTGTCTGCCTCAAATACATCTCTCGTCCTTGCCGGTGCATTTTCCAGTCCAAATTCGCCAAAATCGTCATCCACAAATTGAGCCACTCTTTGGCCACTCATATCATTAGTTAAAAAACAGAAAATTAGGCAAAAATGCGCTCTAATTATAGAGATTCAAACCTCATTTGCGCAGCCGGCTGAGTGCGCCTCCCGCTCTGCTATGTTGCCAGCATGTTTCTAACAAAACCAGTTTGAGGGTTTCAGGCTTTCAGCGTGCTACTTTATACAATTGACCAGTTGACCCGGCGGAACCGGTGACTCGGAGACTTGCCCGGTCGATTCCGGGACCGAGTTTAAAAACTTTTTTTATGATTAACTTTTAGTTATTACTTTTAATAGTATTATCTTTTATTTATGAAATATTTAGAGATAATTTATGTAAAATCTATCTATATATATATATATATATATATATATATATATATATATTTATTAAAGCTAAGCAGCTGGAAAAAAAATATTTTTCTCTCAAAAACTACATTTATTATACTGAAATAAATTTTGTTAACGTTTATGTAATACAACGATAAACTTAATTAGTTTTTACAAAAAAAAAACACTTAATTATGTATATATATTTATTTACTTATTAAATAATTCTCAGTTTTCATGACGATACTTGTTACGTGAAAGTTAAATAACGAGTGTGGTATTTAAAGCCCATAACGGTTGTATCGCCGTTCCACGTAAATCATAATCATACGTGAAAGTATGTTGTTTATAATCTTTATCTACAAATTAGTATCCTACATAAAGCACGAAAAACATGCAACACTCGTTCAAATTAAAATGTCTACTGAATTTCAATTGTAAAAAACCCTAATGTTGTTTTATTCCATCAATATTCTCCACCATAATTAGAATTTTTAAAATTATTGAAATTGAACCATTCTCATAAGTACACATCTTGTAGTTTTATAAACCATAAAGTTATACTTAAATAGTTTTTTAAGCTCAAATTCAAATCATCATTGATGGAAGAAAAGGTGAAGAAAAAAAAAATGAAAAGAGAAGAAAATCATCAGGTATGAAAACAATTTATAGGAAATGTAATTATAGGAAATGTAATATAGACATTTTATCATATAGGAATATTTTTAGGCATTTACAATTCTCTTTCATACTTATTTAAAGGGTAAAATATGTCGCGCCCCTTGTGTTTAATGAAATGTGCGCGTTATCTACCTGTGTTTTAAAAAATGCTACATATCCCCTTATGTTTTATTTCCGTTTGCGCGAATTCCCCCCGACCGTTTAAGTTAACGCGTGTGTATGAAACGCGCCGAATTTTCGTGTGTTTCCCGGCTTTTCCACTGCATTTTCTGTCTGAAAGACCATTTTACCCCTTAGTGCTTCTTTAAATATACAGCTGCTCCAACTGTCTTCTTCCTCATTTGCCCGCATCATTGGAGAAGAGAAAGCAGGTATGTATGGATTTTTTTTTCAGAGCTTTCCATTAATTTTTTTTCAGCTTTCATTTTTTTTCCAGATTCATTTTTCTTCCAAAAATCATTTTTTTTTTCTACTTTCATTTTTTTTTTCAGATCCAAACTCAGGCTGAAAATGTCTCAGAAATCGAGGATGGAGAAGATTGAAAGATTGGATTTACGATACAGGCACCTAAAGTGTTACTGCAATGTGATTGCACAAATTGGGGTTGTTGGTCCTACAAAAATGACAGTTGGGAAGCTGTTTTGCAACTGTCCGAACAACAAATGTGCTTTTTTTGCTTGGTTTAAACCTACGACAGTGAATTTGGTGAAGCCGTGTGCTCATGAAAATGAAGATTGTGATGAAGATGATGATGAAGTTAAATCAACTGGAGCAAATATAGCAAATGAAAATGCTGAAGTCACATCACTGTTGAAGGAGATGCATTCAAGGATGGAGAAATTTGAAAAAAGATTTAACAATGGAGTGATTCTTTTGGTTATTGCGATCCTTGTAGCTGTTATCATTCTGAAGTAATTGTAGACTATAATGTTTGATAATGTAAGCCTTTATTTTCTATGAATTCAATCATTCTCATATAATGCACAAAATGAACAAAATGAACAGAGTTGCAACAGCTTGCTCAATATCATTCTCATATAATTCAATCATTCAAGGTGGAATACATTAACAACTTGCTCAGTATCCTATCCAACAACATGAATGCAAAACAATTGTCAAAGCAAAGTTGTAGCAACATATACAAAACATACAATCTGCATTAATGAACAAAACATATATACCAAAGTAGACTTATATAACATTAATACCAACAGACTTGTATAGCATAACAAAACATGTTCTAACAAAACATGATACCAACAACATATTCACCAATGGCCAACAACATACTTCTAGCATATACAAAATACTGGTCAAATAATTGTACCACCATACCACTTTCAACACTTCCAACTTACACAAAATAACCGACCAATATGGTTATGAGACAAAGTACTGGTTCAGATTATACAAAACAATGGCCTAATGACAAAAAAAAAAACAATGAAAGGTCTATTTTAACACACCTTCAGCTGGTAGGCACTAGATACTTTGTTGAGTGGAGCTTTGAGGGCCAGTGTTGTGGAAAAAGTCTTCAACAGGATCAGTAGGCTGAGTAGGCTGAGATGGAGGTTGCTGCAAATGTTCATGGATGTAAAAATAAATTATTAATAAAATATGTGAAGCGGAATGCATTAAATGAACAAAATCAGAATTTACCTGTTGAGGTGCACTAGAATTTTCCCTAGCCCTTTTCCTGCAGCTTCTCTTATTGTGATTCTTCTCCCCACACAATTGACAGGTCTTAAGATGACCTTTTCTGCTGGCACTTTCTCTCATTTTCCTCATATCATTCCCATCAGGCCTCATTTTCTTTGTTGGCCTACCTCTTTTTTTCACCGGATCAGGTGGTTGAATTGAGCCCATTCCAGACTCCTCAAAGTCATTCATCCCTGGAACAGGGTTGATCATATGACTATACACCCTGACATACATATCCTTTTTGAAAAAATCAGACACATAGTCAGAAAGATTCAACCTGTGATATGAGATGCATGCTAATGCATGGCAACATGGATACCCAACCAACTGAAACATTCCACAGGTGCAAGTTTTAGCATTCAACTGCACAACATGACTCTGAACCCCATGCACCACCTCATACTTATCTTCTCCACCCCAAGTTGGGAAACAATTTCTGCTCAAAATCCTTTGCTCTTCAATTTTTCTCACTGTGTTTGGAGATATGTCCTCTGCATATTTTTCAATACCAGTTCTCTTCACCTGCATTCTTTCCATCATTCTTCTTTTTATCCACTCAAACATATCTATGATAGGCATATCCCTAGCTTCTAATATATAACTGTTGAAGGACTCTGACAGGTTATTCACAATTACATCACACAGTGCATTGAAAGTGAATGAAGACCTTGCCCAGTGTTCTTCAGGGACAGCCTTGAGCCACTCAAATGAAGTCACCTTGCCATCTTTCTTAGGGACAAGGCTATGGATTTCTTTCATGCACCTATTGTGTTCTCTAACACTATATGTGTTGACTGCCTTCCAAAACCACTTTCTTAATTCCAAATCACCCCATTTCTGCTTGAAATTATTGTACATATGTTTCAAGCAATACATGTGTTCTGCCCCTTATATTTGACCAACAGCATCAAGCAATCCTTTCTGTCTATCAGAAACAAATGTCCACTTCTTCTCCAGGTATGGGTCTATATCTCTTAACAGCCTTTGATTGAACCAGGTCCAAGAGTCCATCTTCTCAACTTCAACATAGGCCATTGCAATAGGCACCATGTTGTCATTGCCATCCCTACCTACAGCTGGTAGTAGTTGACCACCATGTAGGGTCTTCAGAAAACATCCATCAAGCCCTATAATGGGCCTGCATCCACTCACAAAGGCCTGCCTCATTGCACTAAAGCAAACATACATCCTCATAAACTTTGGAGGTGTAAAATCATGGTTCAGCTTTAGGATAAGGCTACTACCATGGTTGTATTTCACCACAGTGGAACAATAGTCATACAGTCTCTTAAATTGCTCTCCAATGTCAACCTTCAACAATGACAAACCATAAGCTCTAACTCTGTACACCTTGTGAGTACTTATATCAACTCCACAATCTCTCTTAATTTTGTTTTTCAGACTTCGAAGTGACTCACCAGGATTCTCTCAATGTGTCCATCATCCT